TACTTACTGACTCCTTTCTACCTTCCTTCCTTCCTTATTTACTCCTTACTTACTTACTTACTGACTCCTTTCTACCTTCCTTCCTTCCTTATTTACTCCTTACTTACTTACTGACTCCTTTCTACCTTCCTTCCTTCCTTATTTACTCCTTACTTACTTACTCCTTTCTTCCTTCGTTGCTTACAGACTTACTCCTTCCTTCCTTATTTACTCCTTCCTTACTTACTTACTGACTCCTTTCTACCTTCCTTCCTTCCTTATTTACTCCTTACTTACTTACTTACTGACTCCTTTCTTCCTTCCTTCCTTTCTCCTTACTTCCTTCCTTACTTACTTTCTCCTTACTTCCTCCTTACTTCCTTTCTCCTTACTTCCTTCCCTACTTACTTTCTCCTTACTTCTTCCTTTCTTACTCCTTACTTCCTTTCTCCTTACTTCCTTTCTCCTTACTTACTTACTCCTTACTTCTTCCTTTCTTACTCCTTACTTACTTTCTCCTTACTTCCTCCTTACTTCCTTTCTCCTTACTTCCTCCTTACTTACTTACTCCTTACTTCTTCCTTTCTTACTCCTTACTTACTCCTTCCTTCCTTCCTTATTTACTCCTTACTTACTTACTTACTGACTCCTTCCTTCCTCCTTACTTACTTACTCCTTCCTCCCCTTATACTTACTCCTTCCTTCCTCCTTACTTACTTACTCCTTCCTTCCTCCTTATTACTCCTTCCTTCCTCCTTACTTACTCCTTCCTTCCTCCTTACTTACTTACTTACTCCTTACTTCTTCCTTCCTTTCTTACTCCTTACTTATTCCTTCCTTTCTTACTTACTCTTTCCTTCCTTTCTTACTTCTTCCTTCCTTCTTACTCCTTACTTACTCCTTACTTATTCCTTACTTATTCCTTCCTTTCTTACTCCTTATTTACTCCTTACTTACTTACTTACTGACTTCCTTCCTTTCTACCTTCCTTCCTTCCTTACTTCCTCCTTACTTACTTACTTACTCCTTCCTTCCTTACTCCTTCCTTCCTCCTTACTTACTTACTCCTTCCTTCCTCTTTACTTACTTACTGACTTACTTACTTACTCCTTCCTTCCTCTTTACTTACTTACTGACTTACTTACTTACTCCTTCGTTCCTCCTTCCTTCCTCCTTACTTACTTACTCCTTCCTTCCTCTTTACTTACTTACTGACTTACTTACTTACTCCTTCCTTCTACATCACGATCATTAACACCCAGCGTGAGGAAGGAAGGAGGAACTCCTTACTTCCTTCCTTCCTCCTTAGTTACTTCCTTCCTCCTTACTGACTTACTTACTCCTTTTTCAACAGTCGTGTTGGTCTTTACATGACGGACGGGACGGTCAGTTTTATGTCATGATTTAAAAGGATTGTTCTGACAGATATTTTTGTGTGCTGCGTGTTTCAGACCTGCGGTGGGTCCAGGTGAACAGCTCCGAGGAGGCCTACAGAGTCATGAAAATCGGGAAGAAGAACCAGAGCTTCTCCTCCACCAGACTGAACCAGCTGTCCAGCAGGAGGTCAGCTGCCGCTCACTCAGTCCCTAACATTAGATCTGTCCGGTCGGTCCTGATCCAAGTCCAGCTGGAGGAACGGATTTAAAAGCACACGTGTTTATGAAACTAACAGCTAGCTGCATCAGTCTGTGAGGAGTAATCAGGGTTTGTGTGTCTCCGCAGCCACAGCATCTTCTCCATCAGGATCCTCAGAGTGGACGACGTCGGCGTTCCCAGAGTCCTCGGCATCAGCGAGTAAGCTCGCCCTTCATTACCGCGGTTTGTTACCTCAGCGTGGCGGTCGGCCTTGCGGCGCTGGGTGTTAATGATCGTGGTGTGTGTGTGTGTGTGTGTGTGTGTGTGTGTTCAGGCTGGCGCTGTGCGACCTGGCCGGCTCCGAGAGATGCTCCCGGACTCACAACACCGGAGAGAGACTGAAGGAAGCGGGAAACATCAACAGCTCTCTGCTGACGCTGGGGAAGTGCATCAACGCCATGAGACTGAACCAGCACGCCAAGTACGCCGCCGCCGCCGCCATGTGTGTCTGTGTGTGGTATATCTGAAAGGATGTGAAACAGCTGATCTGACTCTCTGCAGGTTCCAGCACCACATCCCCTTCAGGGAGTCCAAGCTGACCCACTTCCTGCAGTTCTTCTTCTGTGGTGCCGGCCGGGTCTCAATGGTGGTCAACATCAACCAGAACCCGTCCTGCTTTGACGAGACGCTCAACGTCCTCAAGTTCTCCGCCCTCGCCCAGAAGGTCAGCGCGCGCACACACACACACAGGTTGGGCAGCGGCTCTCTAATCTCGCAGGCGTGTTGGTTTAACGAAGGCGACGCCTCTCTGTCCAGGTGGTGGTGGTGAACTCCAGGCCCGCGGTCCTGGACGACGCCCCCCACAGGTCGGCCATGGAGCTGTCGATCATCATCGACGAGGCCGACCAGCGCAGGAACGTGTCGGGGCGGGGCAGGAAGAGCTCGCTGGTCGCCTGGGAGACGACCCTGGAAGACGTGCTGGAGGTTGAGGACGACGAGGAGGAGGAAGAGGAGGAGGAGAGTGCGATGGAGGGAACCGTGCTGGAGGCCGGAGGTGAGGAAGACGAGGAGGAGGAAGAGGACCGGACGATGGAGGAAGAAGAGAAGGTAATGCTCTAATTTAAAGGTTTTCTAAAGATCGCTTCACTACACGGCCAACAGTACGTGGACAGGCGAGCAGAGAAACCAGCTCCATGGCGGGGGTCGAGCAGAGCCGGTTTACATCGTTTACAAATGTGTAATTTGAATTTTATTCATTTGGTTTTTGCTACTTTCAGCCCCAGATCTACAGTTTAGTCTCATTTTTGTTATCTGTCTGTCACATTATTGTTTTTTTATTCGTTGATGAAAAATATAAAACATTTCAGTCTAATTTGCTCCTCCATAGTTTCAAAATGAACCGAAAATATTTTCACACATCTCATAATCATGTTTCAAAGCTCTAACGTTGTGTCGTGCGGGCGCTGCTGTGAGCTCGCGCACTTTGGCATCCGACACAACAACAATAAAATGTTCGGGAAATTATTTATTTTCTATTCTTTGATTTAGGGTTGCTGGAAAAACATTAAATACATTTGTTGACTTTTGTTGCCGTTTCGTCTGCAGCTCTACAGTGGGGTCATGTTCAAACAGTTTACTGGAGTGCAAAGTTCTTCATACAAATTAATGCATTTCACTTTAAAATGTACAAAATTTTCCGAGGTCCACCCGCCATAGTCTCTTTAAATCCTGTGGGAAACACTGTCTTTAATGGAGGTCGTCGTTTTTAAAGGTCGCTTCTTTAGTTTGTCTTGCTGCAGGAAAAAGGGTCGTTAACAGATCTTTATGTTTTGGTTGATGAGTGGACTCGGGAGCGTTTATAAACTGCAACGTTTGAACTTGCAAGTCTTCATGATTCAGGAAGGTGTGAAATAAAAAGGGTTTTCCCTGCAGAGTCTCCGATAGTTTCAGTTCATCGTTGTGTAAAATCTTCACACTTCTGAGAAAGTAATCTTTCCTAAATTGTAATTTCTGATCAGTAACGTTTGTTGTTCTGTAACTTGTTTTGACTTGTCGTCGTGTTCTGTGTGTGCAGCCGGACCGAGAGGCTGCGCTGCGATTGGTTCTGGAGGCTCAGATCAGAGAGGAAGTCAGCACTGAGTTCATGGAGCTCTTCAACAAGATGGAGAAAGACTACAGGTAACAGTCATGTGACCGGCTGCGAGGACACGTGAGGGGTGATGACTGTAACGATGGCGCCGGGGCCCTTTGTTTCTGAATTCCTGCTGCTAAACAGGAAGTGGTTAACCAGAGTTCCTGCTTCTACTTTTCTCTCCTACGTCTTACTTACAGTTCAGTCCCGAGTCCAGAACCATTTACACTCTAATGTGTCTCCGGTTTAATGGCCAGGTACGTGTCCACATACTAGGAATCCAGTCTTACAGTGTCTGGATACTGTAACAGTGTCGTCAGCGTAGTGCAACGACGCTGGACTAAACATTTTGATCTTATTATCAGGGCCAAACCGTGGCGGGTAACGGTCACTCCCATGAGCCACTTAGGCGTGTTGACATATTGTAGTGTTTTCAAAATGCATCTGAAATAACAAATGAATTGCAATTTGAAGACACTACAACTCCCATGAGTACTGCCTGCGCATAGTGTTTGCTCATTGGTCCATTCGTGAAGCCTCTTGACCGAAAACACTGTAAACAAGAAGACGCTGTGGAGATTAAAGTCACAGGCCGGCCGGCGGAGCGAGGGCTGTTTAACCTGCTGTTAATTATCAACTTCACCAGCGGCAGCGATGAGGAAGCGACCTTTTCTAATAGCAGGAGACTGACTCTGTCCCGCAGTGATGGTGCGCGCTCTAAATATGGAAAACGGGAACTGGTCGCGCACGCACGAGAGAAAAGGCAGAGCGGAGACGGAGAGGCAGGAGGAAAGTGTCTGTAAAGGCTGTAACATTAGAGATCTTCCTGATCCAGGGACGTGGAGTTCCTAGTGGCAGGGCTGCCCTCGCAGCACATCGTTTCTACGTCTTAATAAAAGTGCTCACGCGTTTGTGCGGGAACAGTGAGGAAAATAAAGAGCTGCGAACTCGTTTCAGGTGGACGCAGTTACTCAGAGCTTCATGATGAGGAACATAAACCCAGTCAGAGCTCTGAGGAGAACCAACTATCCAGAGTGGGCCTACAGAATATTTTAATCCTGTTGCCTTAATTTATTCTTTGCTCTTTGTTTCTAATGCAGAACATTTATTACAGCTTTACTGCTGTTACGAATAAACAGAGTTTCTGATGCAGCACTTTCATTATGTTCAAGAAGAAGGAAAAGAACTTTCCACAGCCTTATCAGACCTAATGATCATATTAGTACATTTAAGCTCCTTCAATCATTAAAAACAACATTAATGTGGCTAGTAAAAAAAACTAAACTAGTAACTTTGGTAAATCACAGGTGAGCAAAAAGTTAATATCAAGTTATTATGTAGGTGGATGTGATTACAAAATGACAAACATGCTGTTAATAAAACACGATATGTTCCAATAGGAAACAGGAAGACGTTCAGTTTGTTTCCTCTCTGCTTCAGCGAGCGTCTGGAGAAGGAGAGGGAGATCCTGGAGGAGCGAGCCGAGAAGAGAGTCGAGATCCTGAAGAACCTGGTCAGCAAGACGGTCGACCTGTCAACCGTCGGCGCCGACAGCAGCAAGGTGACGCGTCTTTCATTATCGCCACTGTATTTCTTCTCGCCGCTGGGGATCGTGAGCGATTGATAACAGTATCGGTTGGTGTTTGTTAGGAGGAGCAGGCGACTGTGTTGGAGGGAATCATCAGCTCGCTGACTGAGGACCTGCAGAAGGTCAGAGAGGACGCTCAGAGCGTTCAACGCTGCCTGACGGAGCACGCCCACGCCGCAGGTAACGCACAGCGCTGCACGCCGAGACGGCTGAGGTCACCTGACGGAGCAGGTGTTTAACCTGTAAAGCCTGTGTTCTGTCATCAGTCTCGCCAGTCCTGGAGGAGGAGATCTCGAGGCTGCAGGAGGAAAACCGCAAGAAAGAGGAAACCATCTGCGAGCTGAGAGAGAGGGAGGAGAGGAGGAGGGGGCTGGAGGAGGAGCTGAGGAGACGGGAGGAGGAGGTGGAGGAGCTGAAGAAGGAGCAGCTCCTGCTGGAGCAGAACGTGCAGAAGCTGACGGGTAGGAGCTGAACCTTCAAAGGAGTCCTCATGTTACTGTCGGATGTGGCCGAGGCTTAAAATCAGGAGGTCGGCGGATTTAAAGAACCTCAGATTTCCCCCGTTCTGATTGGTTCCAAGAGTTTTCTGTATGTGGTCATGTGCTCCAGAAGCAGAACATCGATGTTCAATATGTCGCCAGGAAAGAGCTTTTTCAGGTGTGAAGGCAAATTCAGCTTGTCTGGTTTTCCTAAAGAAGAAAACGCCAAACAAGGCTGGATCAGCTGGTAAACACGCTTCAGGGTCTTGGCCAATCAGAAGACAGTGCAGTATGATAGGGCTCCTTCACAGCCTGATTTGTTCTGTGCAGTCTACGCCATAGCCGACAGCAGAACATGCGCACGTGGCCACATAACTATACTATATATACATAGAGTAGGGGGGGTGTAGTTGGCATTTTAGCGTCCACTGTGTTGACTTCTGACGGGCTAACTTCCTGTTTAGCCCTCCGCTAACTTGAAACTGTGCGTGTTATCGAGCGAATGGATCGAACTCTGATAGTGAGACGAGTCAGATCCACCGTTTTACAGCCGTTGGTAAAACTGGCTTCAAAGCTCGGAGGAACTGATGCTACCAAGCCGACCACTCACAGTTCTTGTGGTCTGCGTTGCGTAGTTACATTTCTGGGGAGGTGGGGTTAGTACGGCGTAGAGCACGTGGCAGATTCTGTCAGGCTTCTTCTTTTCGTTAACCTCTTAACATTCCAGCGGCCCGTCGGGTCATAAGATCCACCGTCTGAAAGCTAAAATCCTGGTGATTCGACCGACCATTTCAAGATACGATCACCACAGCGGGTCCAATCGGCGCCTCTGTCAGACCAGCCAGCACAAACAAAAGTGACGCGACTCACCTGTGAAGCCTCACAGTAACTTAATCCACCGATCGATTATATTCCAACAGAAACGGTCTTGTTACTCTGTCAAAGGTCCAGACGATCCAATCCAGTAAAAACATTTAGTCCAAAACTCATTATTCCATCAGTAAATCCTCGGGGCTGCCGCATCGCTTCAGATTCACCGGCAGACGCAGCTCGTGCGTCGTCATAACCGCAATAACTCTGATTTGAATGTAAACAACTACGACAGCTTGTAGTCAGATTAGCCGCTGAACTCTGACCTTTCGATTGACAGCTGGTCCGACCCAATAGTAGGTCACATGTCCCTTTCACAGCCTACAGCAGCCAATGAGAGCCCGCGCTGTGAGGAAGGGCCGGCCCCTGTTATTTCCTGGGTAGGACGAGCCAATTGCAACCAGCTGTGCCGATGACGGGCGCTTGCTGTAGCCAATAAGATTCTGACAATAACGATATCCAGCTTTAAGTAGGAAGTTCATGATCTACCAGCAGAAAAAAGCGACGGGGCTGCTTTAGAAAAAATACGCTGGGACAGACACTCAGAAAAACCTGTGGACAACAGTCATTGTTCATGGTGTTGTTATGAAATGTAAACTTGTTCTAGGCTTTCTGCTGCGGCCCTGCAGTGTTTCCCAGCTGTAGCTGTCTGCAGGCATTTGTTAGCAAACATTTTCAAGTGGAAATGAAAAATCTATTAGTTTAAACTTGTATTAATCAGTTGCAGTAGTTCTTACAGTCATTCAGACTTTTGGGTCAGACTCTCCAGAGTGTCTCTTTCAGAGAAACCAGGCAGAGACTCCAGATGGTTCAAGAACTACATTCAGTTTACTCTGGATCTGCCTTGAAGAGGCGTTTTGCAGGAATGTTAGAGGTTAAAGGGGAAGACGCTGCAGGGCCAACGGTCTGTGGACACCCGGTGGAACGACCACACGGGGACGGATCTTCAGCTCTGTAACGACTCTGTTTGCCCCCCGTAGATCTGGACCAGTGTCCAAACTGTGCGTCTGTGTTTTCGTCTCTGGAGTCGGAGCAGAGGGAAACATCCAGACTGACGAAGGAGAACAAAGCTCTGGTTAACGGCATCTTCCAGCTGCAGACAGAGGTACTGCTACACTCAGTGGCCACTTTATTAGGTACGCCCAGCTAACGGCGGCCCTGCAGTTAACACGTCTCAAACACAGACTGAACCTCGTACCCGTCATGAACTCTCATTCATTCATTCATTCGCCCGTCTGCACCTGAAACATGCTAAAACTGTTCTGTTTCCAGATGACGAGTCTCCAGGCGCAGCTCAAAGAGCAGACTGACAGGTGTGACAGCCTATCAGAGCAGCTCAGCACTGCAAAGGCCCGCCTCCAGGACCTGGAGAGCCAATCGGAGGAGAAGGCCAACACCATCAGCAGTCTGACACAAGAAGTGGAGCGTCTGAGACGTGAACTCAAGGTTGTTGCCGCTCTGTTGTCTTTGATCGATCTGTTGTTAATGAAGCTAGTCTGTTAATCACTGTGAAGTAGGACAGATCAGCTGGACTCATGCGGGCTGAGCGTCTGAACACGCCGGCTGAAAAACAACATGAGCAGCAGTGTTAGTGGATGATTGACTGACTGGTTGATTCAGGAGGGAGAGGCGGGACAGAGCAGCAGCAGCAGCAGTGTTTTCCACGCCACCATAGAGGAGCTGAAGAAGGAGGGCCTGGCAGCGCTGGAGAGGTCGGCTCAGAAATCCCAACAGATCCAAGATCTGCAGAGAGAAAAGATGCAGCTGGAGGAGACTCTGTCTCACAGGTGGGCAGCTTCTCAATACTGATTTACTGATCCGCAAACAGCAGCTGGTTCACCGTCAACACATGTTGTCCTTCCCTCTGAAGTGAGAACAGGTGTGTCGAGCTCAGGGGGAGTTAGCCAATCAGAAGGCAGAATCCTCGCGTCAGCTCCAGAGCCTGAGGGCGGAGCTTGAGTCTGAGGGCGGAGCTCTGCGAGGGAGACTGGAGGAGCAGAAGAGAGACCAGGAGACGGAGAAGGAAGGTGAGAAGATGGAGATCAGAAGAAGAGTTGGGGAGAGGGCGGATAAAAACCTGTGATGTGTTCACGATGGACGACCTGTGTTTGTCTCAGAGCTGCAGCGAGTCGCGTCGGAGAAGGACAGACTGATAGAAGAAAGCCAGCGGCAGACGGAGACGCTGAGAAAAGGTATCTTCATCCCCTGAAACGGCGAGAACATGAAGCTGACCGGCTGAAACTGAAGTCTTTGTTTCCTCCTCGTCAGAGCTGGAGCGTCTGCAGGAAGAGCTGCAGGGGAGGGAGGAGGAGGAGAAGGAGAACAGACAGGAGGAGGAGGAGAAGGTGTCGGTGGTGGAGGAGCTGAAGGAGGAGCTCCAGAGACTCCAGGAGAGGAAGAGAGGGAGACAGCTGAAGCAGGAGGAGGCGGCGGTGGGGAGGAGGAGCAGGGAGTTTGATGCTGTACACAGAGAGCTGGAGAGACTGAAGGAGGAGAGAGAGAGAAACCTGCAGGTGGGCTGAGGTCACAGACCCGACTTCATTTTACTATTACTGAGCTTTAACTCGAACGCCATTTTAGAGAGTTTCTTTATTTCTCTGTTGATTTGATGAACAAAGGCATTAAAACGTGACACGTTCCTCTGGACCCTGTTCTGAGAGTGCGAATCCGGACGGTTCACTAAGGCCCGTGTCCACCAAAGCGTTTTTATTTTAAATTCTTTCAAATGGGAGCGCCACGTTTTTACAACATGGTAATAACGCCAGCAGCGTGATGAAGCGCTGAGCATTTTTATTTTATTTTGAGTTGAAAAATGTTCCTCGTTGCAAAAAATCAACATGGCGGCGCCGAATAGGCCAAACTCGAGGCTTTAAAACCGCAGTCCACAAACCAACGGGTGACGTCACAATGACCACGCCCACTTCTTATATAAAGTCTGTGGTTTATTCACATCTATAAAGTCACACAAAGAGGAGCTACAGGAAGCCGTGTTAGATTCTTTCAGCTCACGTTTATTTACACGGCCGCTCTGGTTTAATCATTTCAGGCGCGCAGACCATAACTACAAACTAACGGCTCATTAACGTTAGCGCTCCTCCGCTGTCTCCACACGGCATTAGCTTTGTGGCTAATGTAGCGACGGGCAGCATTAGCTGCTGTACGTGATTTGAAAAGAGAAATGGGGGAGCGTTTGCTCAAACTGCCGCACTGTTTCAGAAATAAATCTATCACGCAAAGCTTTCAACACCCAACTAGCGTAACATTAAACTGCTGTGAGCCGGGAGAGGGCGGTGAAACACCGGAGGGTTTGCAAGTCCTGAAGGTTTTCAGGAGAGGAGAAGTGATGGGGCTGATTTTATTATAATTATTTAAGTGACAAAAGGCCGACTCACCGCGTTTCTACCTCCTCAGGTAGACTGCGGTCAGCTGGTTGTTTTCTTCTGTGGTGAGGCGGTGTTGTTAACAGAGGAGCTGCACAGCACCCTCTGGTGGGCAAACTATTCAACCCTCATTACAAGAGGGAAGGTTGTCGGTCTGTTTCTTTATCAGTGGTCACGTATCTGTTATAAACGCAGATGCCGATTAGCTCATCAGCTGGTCTCGAGACGACACTACCGAGTCAGTACACGGTGTACTGACGGTATTCAACGATTGTTGTTTACTGAGATCTGAGACACTGGAGAAAATGTGTTGTTCATAAATTATATTAACTGATGATCACAAGTATGAACCTACTATGAAAAGGTCAGTTAATTTGGTGGCTGTGACACCTTTGACCTTTGACCTGTCTGCCCACAGCAGGACGTTCACGACTCTCCTCTGAGGTCCAACATGGCCGACCGGAAGAAAACCCCCAGAACTACAGGGAGGAAGAGGAAGAGCTGCGAGGTGGAGGTGTGTGAGGATCACTTTTACACTGATCTCACCTGATATCAGTTAGTCCTCAATGAAACCCCGACGTGTGTCTGTGTTTCAGGGCCTGGTGTCCAGCGAGAACAAGAGAAACCGGGTGAGAGGAAACGCTCGAAACAACAAACAGGTGAGAAATCAAACACACCTGAAGGTTTTTCACCTCCTGTGTCACATGTGTGGTCACATGTCTCTGTGTCTCCACTCTTCTTCTGTGGTAAAGGAGAAGAGAGACGCGGCTCTTCAGAACATCAGAGAGTTGATCACCAAGTCTCCGTCCATCCTGGGCAGCAAAGGTCAGTGCGACTTTAAATTCATATAGAAAACTCCAGCCTGAACGCTTCTCCATTCAAACACTGAAGTTCAGTTTGAGCTTGTTCATGGGGCTCGTTTAGGCAACCTGGGGCTCATTTAGGCAACCTGGGGCACATGGGGCTCGTTTAGGCAACCTGGGACTCGTTTAGGCAACCTGGGGCACATGGGGCTCGTTTAGGCAACCTGGGGCTCGTTTAGGCAACCTGGGGCACATGGGGCTCGTTTAGGCAACCTGGGGCACATGGGGCTCGTTTAGGCAACCTGGGGCACATGGGGCTCGTTTAGGCAACCTGGGGCACATGGGGCTCGTTTAGGCAACCTGGGGCTCGTTTAGGCAACCTGGGGCACATGGGGCTCGTTTAGGCAACCTGGGGCTCGTTTAGGCAACCTGGGGCACATGGGGCTCGTTTAGGCAACCTGGGGCACATGGGGCTCGTTTAGGCAACCTGGGGCACATGGGGCTCGTTTAGGCAACCTGGGGCACATGGGGCTCGTTTAGGCAACCTGGGGCACATGGGGCTCGTTTAGGCAACCTGGGGCACATGGGGCTCGTTTAGGCCACATGGGGCTCGTTTAGGCCACATGGGGCTCGTTTAGGCAACCTGGGGCTCGTTTAGGCAACCTGGGGCACATGGGGCTCGTTTAGGCAACCTGGGGCTCGTTTGGGGAACGGCACGTTTAGGCAACCTGGGGCTCGTTTAGGCAACATGGGGCACGGCACATTTGGGCAACCTGGGGGACGGCTCGTTTAGGCAACCTGGGGCTCTTTTGGGGGACGGCACGTTTAGGCAACCTGGGGCTTGTTTGGGGGATGGCACGTTTAGGCAACCTGGGGCTCGTTTAGGCAACATGGGGCACTTCACGTTTGGGCAACCTGGGGGACGGCTCGTTTAGGCAACCTGGGGCTCTTTTGGGGGACGGCTCGTTTAGGCAACCTGGGGCTCTTTTGGGGGACGGCACGTTTAGGCATCATGGGGCTCGTTTAGGCAACCTGGGGGACGGCACGTTTGGGCAACCTGGGGGACGGCACGTTTGGGCAACCTGGGGCTCTTTTGGGGGACGGCTCGTTTAGGCAACCTGGGGCTCTTTTGGGGGACGGCTCGTTTAGGCAACCTGGGGCTCTTTTGGGGGACGGCTCGTTTAGGCAACCTGGGGCACATGGGGCTCGTTTAGGCAACCTGGGGCACATGGGGCTCGTTTAGGCAACCTGGGGGACGGCACGTTTGGGCAACCTGGGGCTCTTTTGGGGGACGGCTCGTTTAGGCAACCTGGGGCTCTTTTGGGGGACGGCTCGTTTAGGCAACCTGGGGCTCTTTTGGGGGACGGCTCGTTTAGGCAACCTGGGGCACATGGGGCTCGTTTAGGCAACCTGGGGCACATGGGGCTCGTTTAGGCAACCTGGGGGACGGCACGTTTGGGCAACCTGGGGGACGGCACGTTTGGGCAACCTGGGGGACGGCACGTTTGGGCAACCTGGGGGGCGGCACGTTTGGGCAACCTGGGGGGCGGCACGTTTGGGCAACCTGGGGGGCGGCACGTTTGGGCAACCTGGGGCTCGTTTAGGCAACCTGGGGGACGGCACGTTTAGGCAACCTGGGGCTCGTTTGGGGGACGGCACGTTTAGGCAACCTGGGGCTCGTTTGGGGGACGGCACGTTTAGGCAACCTGGGGGACGGCACGTTTAGGCAACCTGGGGCTCGTTTGGGGGACGGCACGTTTAGGCAACCTGGGGCTCGTTTGGGGAACGGCACGTTTAGGCATCATGGGGCTCGTTTAGGCAACCTGGGGCTCGTTTGGGGGACGGCACGTTTAGGCAACCTGGGGGACGGCACGTTTAGGCAACCTGGGGCTCGTTTGGGGGACGGCACGTTTAGGCAACCTGGGGCTCGTTTGGGGGACGGCACGTTTAGGCAACCTGGGGGACGGCACGTTTAGGCAACCTGGGGCTCGTTTGGGGACGGCACGTTTAGGCAACCTGGGGCTCGTTTGGGGAACGGCACGTTTAGGCATCATGGGGCTCGTTTAGGCAACATGGGGCACGGCACGTTTGGGCAACCTGGGGGACGGCTCGTTTAGGCAACCTGGGGCTCGTTTGGGGGACGGCACGTTTAGGCAACCTGGGGGACGCCACGTTTAGGCAACCTGGGGGACGCCACGTTTGGGCAACCTGGGGCTCGTTTAGGCAACCTGGGGGACGGCACGTTTGGGCAACCTGGGGCTCTTTTGGGGGACGGCTCGTTTAGGCAACCTGGGGCTCTTTTGGGGGACGGCTCGTTTAGGCAACCTGGGGCTCTTTTGGGGGACGGCTCGTTTAGGCAACCTGGGGCTCTTTTGGGGGACGGCTCGTTTAGGCAACCTGGGGCACATGGGGCTCGTTTAGGCAACCTGGGGCACATGGGGCTCGTTTAGGCAACCTGGGGGACGGCACGTTTGGGCAACCTGGGGCTCTTTTGGGGGACGGCTCGTTTAGGCAACCTGGGGCTCTTTTGGGGGACGGCTCGTTTAGGCAACCTGGGGCTCTTTTGGGGGACGGCTCGTTTAGGCAACCTGGGGCACATGGGGCTCGTTTAGGCAACCTGGGGCACATGGGGCTCGTTTGGGCAACCTGGGGGACGGCACGTTTGGGCAACCTGGGGGACGGCACGTTTGGGCAACCTGGGGGACGGCACGTTTAGGCAACCTGGGGGGCGGCACGTTTGGGCAACCTGGGGGGCGGCACGTTTGGGCAACCTGGGGGCGGCACGTTTGGGCAACCTGGGGGACGGCACGTTTGGGCAACCTGGGGCTCGTTTAGGCAACCTGGGGGACGGCACGTTTAGGCAACCTGGGGCTCGTTTAGGCAACCTGGGGGACGGCACGTTTAGGCAACCTGGGGCTCGTTTGGGGACGGCACGTTTAGGCAACCTGGGGGACGGCACGTTTAGGCAACCTGGGGCTCGTTTGGGGGACGGCACGTTTAGGCAACCTGGGGCTCGTTTGGGGAACGGCACGTTTAGGCATCATGGGGCTCGTTTAGGCACCTGGGGCTCGTTTGGGGACGGCACGTTTAGGCAACCTGGGGGACGGCACGTTTAGGCAACCTGGGGCTCGTTTGGGGGACGGCACGTTTAGGCAACCTGGGGCTCGTTTGGGGGACGGCACGTTTAGGCAACCTGGGGGACGGCACGTTTAGGCAACCTGGGGCTCGTTTGGGGGACGGCACGTTTAGGCAACCTGGGGCTCGTTTGGGGAACGGCACGTTTAGGCATCATGGGGCTCGTTTAGGCAACATGGGGCACGGCACGTTTGGGCAACCTGGGGGACGGCTCGTTTAGGCAACCTGGGGCTCGTTTGGGGGACGGCACGTTTAGGCAACCTGGGGGACGGCACGTTTAGGCAACCTGGGGGACGCCACGTTTGGGCAACCTGGGGCTCGTTTAGGCAACCTGGGGGACGGCACGTTTGGGCAACCTGGGGCAATACAGTGTCAGTCTGTCCCGGAGTGTTGCAGCAGTGAGCTGCTCTGTCACTAGACAAATGATGTTAACTGAGCAGCTGACCTGCTGTTCGTTCTGTACCTGTTCTTACCTGTTTGGTCGATGGCAGGACAGATTTCTGCTAAATTTAAAAGTTGATTTTTTACGGTTCATGATCCGAGTAGATAATTATTTATTTCAATAATTCTTCTTCTGTCCCTCTGCAGCTAAAAATATCATCAGTCTGGTCAGTGGACATTCGGTTGAGAAGGAGACGGTTACCACAGCAACCAAACCGAGACGAGGACGGAAGAAGCTTTACAAGCAGGACGCCTCGGATGCCCTGCTAGACTCTCCACACATGGTGAGACGGTTAGCGTGTTCTTTCTGAGGGCCTGTCGGGGTTGCAGACCTGGAGTGCGAGGGCCACAGAGCTAAATATCCATAGGCAAAATACATGTGTAATAAGGTCAGCAAATCATTGCATGTTGCAGATCGTAAAGCGAAGTGTTTCATGTCAGAGATGAACGGTATAAACTATCTAAAGGTGACGAGCAAATATTAAATGGGACCCTCCCCTTAGGGTTAGGGATGTTGAACTAATATTGTTTCTACTACTAATCTAAACTATAACTAATCATATAATTGCTTAAATACACAATCTCTCAGTTCAAGCTCGCACTCAAATCCGCACTATGCTTTTATTTTGAAAGTTAGGAATCTAAGACTTCCTGTTACATGCCCGCACACGGATGTCAGTGTTTTCAGAGCGTGTGTGGGTGTTTTTAATCTGGCCTCCCGTGTTTCACCCATAACGAGCGCCGATCGATCGCTAATCTATCCACAATCACAGCCTGGCGCCCGGCGAGCGAATCGGGATGAAAATCGTGTAGCGTGAACAAGGCTTCACAGTGCGAGGAGGACGTTTTAGTGGAAAACATATGTTTAATGTGTAGTTTTGTTTCAGATGTCCGGAGGAGCTGAGGAGGAGAAGGAGAGCGATCACCTGATCATTAAGAGGCAGCTGCGGTCCAAGACCTGCAGGAAGTGACATCATCACCATCATGTGACAACACTAAACCTCAGATTTCTGTCAAACCGTCAGTGGTTCTGAGGGTTTGAGTTGAAATATCTGTACAGTTTGTATTTCTGTCTGATTTTTAGTTCAGTACTTGTTTTTCATCGCTGGGGATCAATAAAGAGTTGAGACAACAATCGATTGATTTATGGAAAATAAAATGATCCTTTGTCTAATGAAACACTCGTCTGCTTTACTTACTGCTAGGAAACGTTTCTACGGTGGCTGAGAAGATCCAAACACCACAAACTGTCCTCAGATTCAATAAAACAAGAACCAGCTGGTGAAGGAAGCGCAGACGTTTGTCTGGGCCTTCAAAGTAAAAGCCTAGCAAAATACAATTAAAGATGTTACATATGTTGATTATCACGCCTGTGATGTGTTAATCCTTTACAAACAGGTAATATGTAAATACATTTTTGCACAGTGCAAGTTAACCAAAAGTAGCGCAGCGGTAATTTCTTTCTTTTTGTTGTTCACTGAAGACATTTGGGTTTAAGATCAAAAGAGAGAATTTCAGCTCTCATTTCCTGTTATTCACATCTAGATGTGTTAATATCTCAGGACAAACCACCGTTTGTATTAGACCACAGCGTTCTGAGGTGAGCAAAAGTAACGGAACAAATAATCTTAAAGTAGATAACATTTAATATTTGGTGGCAGAACCCTCTCTTGCTATAACTGCCTGAAGCCTGCGACACATCGACATCACCAAACTGCTGCATTCTTCATTTGTGATGCTGTTCCAGGTTTTTACTGCAGCTTCTTTCACTTCTTGTTTGCTTGCTTCACAGATGAGCTTGGATGCTTCGGATCATCAGCAGTTCCTTTCTTTCTCCATCACTTTGCTAGAGATTAATCTCGGTCTCATCGTCCATCAGATTGTGTTCCAGAACTTTTTATCTCTGTTCTTCTTTGTAAATTTCAGTCTGGCCTTCTGATTCTTGCTGCTGATGAGAGGTTTGCATCTCTATATTTCTTTCTCTTATTCCTTCAGTTTGTTGACACATTATCTGGAAGAACACCAGGGTGAAATGTGCTGCCAGCTAAACTTCAGTATCTCAAACGGGATCTTTGCGTCGGGTGTTTGGACCGCGGTTTCCTACCTGCAGTTTAAACATGAATCTATAAACGTGTGAGGCGTTTTTAAATACGGCTTCAGGAGGAACCAATGGGCTCAGAGCTGAGAGCCTCAGACAGACCTAACACACAATAAAAGCAGAATAGAGGTGCAACAACTTATAATTATAATGCACAACTTTCACGTTCCAGATGTGCCCTAACTTTGCAATCATTAAGGAGGTATCGCTCGTGGCGACGTTTACAGCTGGAGAACGTGTTGAGCGCAGGATTTAACAACACCGGACAATTTCTTACTTTCTAAAGCGAGAAAACAGCCTGGGGACGCGTCTGAGTTTTGTGAGGTGTTGAGTTTGGGGGAAACTATCTAAACTTTGTGAAACGCTGATTGTTAATAACGAAGATTGTTATTATTGGTCCCTTCTTATAAATTCTGCAGATGTGTCACATGACGTTATTCCTGTCTTTGTATAAATATGGCGTCAGTTTCTCTCAGCGTGTAAGCTGCTATGATCAGTGCTCGCACAGCGCTGCACTTATTTCTTACTGTATTTCATTAAAAGATGTATTTTTGAAAGAAGTGTTAATTAGCACCTCATGTTTAATTTAAAAGCTAAATGCGAAGCTATCAAATTAGTCGTTAGTTGCAGCCCTAAACCAGACTTATACTTTAAACAGAAAATAAAACAGGAAACAAAAATGTTTTAACAGAATGTTCCTTTAATTGATCAACAATAAAAACAAAAAATAAAACTAATCTTTCTGTAACAGTTTGAAGTCCAGAGGGAAATATTTAATTATTCTAATGTAGAACAGCTTCAGAGAACCTGGTGGAACCTTCCTCAGGTTTATTATGTAGTGGAAGAAAAAAAGTGCAGGAGGGATCGATTAGTGACCGATTAATCAGCTGAGGCTGCGATGACGAGGCAAAACAAAAAAACAACTGCAGTCGACACTTTCAGTTTCCATAGATCAGACTATTGATCAGCTGCTGTTCATATCCTGTCCCTTCATGGACCGGGACTTTCCCCAGTCCTCATCCACCCGGTTAGTCTCTCTAGAGTCCCCTCCAGCAGCACGTGAGAGGGGAAGCACTGCGCTACAGCACTGACCTGAAATATTACATTAGTGTGGTCCCGTGACTGCAAATAAACCAGTTCAGTGATAAACCAGATGAACCCGGCATGACGAGCACGAGGCGACAGCACCGGCCTGTTGCTCCACGTGAAGGAGACGTCGAACGCCACGTGTAAAGCGTCCTTCTGAAGCCAAAGATGAAGTCAAACCCAGAGAATCCCATGAGGGCAAAGTCATCAAACTGTTTTAGATTTTCCTGCTGATTCGTGCAGGTTTTAAGTCCGAGTGAAGAGATCGAGACCTGATCCTGTCCCAGATAACCTGAGGCCTTACCAAGATGGCTGCCGAATGGCGGGACTTGCTTATATAAGGACTTAAGTTAAAGCGTTTAAGAAATTTAAACGTTCCTCCAAACAGACGGCAGCTGTGAAGTTACTTGCTCTATAGAGAAAGCAAGAAAAGCTCATTCAAAACGTCATTAACATTTCTAACAATTCACAGTAACTAATTCCAGCCTGAGATGTTTGTCGCGTGGCTTCATATTTTTACACAACATTTTCTGTCAGTTCCTCAGACCTTCGCTGAAAACATAAAGATTATTTCTCTCATTAACAAAAACTCATGTTGCAAATACATTTCAAGCTAAAAACAATATAAATGTAAATGTAAATGCTCCGTACTTGTATAGCGCCTTTCTAGTCTTTTCGACCACTCAAAGCGCTTTTACACTACATCTGCATTCACCAGTCACACACATTCATACACTGAGCCTAAGTAAAACTTATAAAACTTTGTCTTCAAACTGCTCAGACTTACAGACGAGATGTTGTACTAACGTACAAAATGTTTTGTTGTTCACTCAAAAATAGCAAACAAATTCCTGAAAGATTTAAAATAACCTCAATAAAAACAAAGAATCAAGTGAAATACAAACAAACTGTTAAATGTTTGTGCGTATTCAATGTGTTGAATGTGCGTTTATATTATATGTTTGTTTTATTTGTTTTCATTTAGGTATTTTATTTATTAGAGGATAAACATTTTGAAAAATCTCTCAAATTAATAAATTTGTTTTAAAGAGGCCAAAAGTGATCAAACGGACAAAGACTGTTTCCTGAAGCAATTTAGAAGTTTGAACATTTTTGGCACATTTTCTTATGAAATAATTTGCTGATAAGTTTTCAGCTCTAATTCATTCAGCAAGTGTTTTTCATATTTATTGAGATGGACACATTTTGTTTGGCATCAAACGAACGTTAAAGTTTAATAAACGACTGTTATTCCTGAATAAAACACTTTAAGAGCAACGTCATCCTAAATCCACAGTTAATATTGTTACTTTATGACACAGCTGCGTTCAGCGACTCAAAAAACAGTTCCTATTTGCATTTTTTGTTATTCCTGTTTGAGAAGACGAGCGTCTGCCTGTTTAGCCTGTTGCTCGCATTAGCGTCTGCCTGTCGTCCGTCTCTTTGTTTAACCCGTCGGATCGTCCAGGTGTCCATGCGGTCATGTGACCGGCATGTGGCTTTAAAACAAACAAAAAGAGGCAGAAGTTGAGTTCCCGTGGCTACAAAATAAAGTCGTTCACAGTGTCTGGGTTGACACTCAGCTGGCCTTCAGCAGTCTCTAAATAAATCTACTTCCTATGAAGTGTCTGTGTGACGTTATGTCGGCCAATCACAGCCCTCGTCACAGACGTCTCTCTGGTGTTGATAAATACGATTGGTCCTTTCCTCTAAGGCCTACGACGCAACACTGCTGCTGACCACCTCCTTGTTGAAGGCGATGAAGCAGTCTGATTGGTTGGACAGGCTGAGGGGG